AAAAAAGACATTATTGCTCGTGTCGTTTTTACTGGGACACCTGTGGTATCACACTCGTAAAATGCTATTTTTTAGCGTTTAAACTCATCACTGGAAGATGAACTTGGCGTTAGGTGCTTGTTCGGTGGGATGAGATGGGCCTGGCACATAAAATCGCGGTAACCATGGCAACCCTGTCACAACTCACCGTGCACCTGTCACACTGACGGTCTGGTCAGTGGAATACTTACCTATATATACCTACCATAGGGAAGGAGGGCAGAAGAAAAAATATGTATAGCGTTTAGCGTATGGTTGCAAGAGGCTAGCGATAGCGAATATCGTAATGCAAACGATTGTTGGCCGAATTTAAGGTCAAGCTAGCGGGATCACATGGATAGCGTACGATCGAGTTGACCCATTAGCAATCAATAGCGTTGACCGATATCGCTGTAACGACCGATCAAATATCTTAGCCCTGCTGATGACCAAAGATAATGCTAGCGTAATCACCAGAATAGCGTGTGATTGCGATAGCATGTGTTCAACGTATATAGGCGGCTAGCGGGCAGTCAACAATTGGAAACAGCAGTTATCGTAGACTATTCGCTGCTACACAGATCGAGTCTATCTTTGTCTAAATTTCATTAAACCACATGTTACTTGAGATAAACTGCTCATAACCAAGACCCTGGTGGCAGACCGGGTTATCTGATTTTAGAGACTCTAAGAATCCAAAGGGGAAGTGGAAATAAATTGCAAAGTTTCGAAAAACAGTGACAGAGCTACTAATGTATAATGAAAGACAATTGGGCAAAACGCTTATGCCATAATTTCATAATGGTCTGGGAAAAAATGTCCAGAGTTTCAATTCCAGCAGTCTAGAAGTTCTTTAACCCGGAATTTGGATTTTCGCTTACGTAATTATGTCAGCATGTCTTCACACACGCAGCTTAGGTTCGAGTTACGTTTTGTTTTTATTTATTTGAACAGTAAGACAGGCTGATCTTTGCTCAGAATTTCTTTCAGAATTGCTTGACTTTTCATAGTTCCCTTGGTTAGTCTATGTTTTGAAATTAGTTAATATATACTAAAAGAAAATTTTATTGCGCGATTGAGCTAGAAACTGAAATACGATCGTTCTCAAACGAAGGCCAAAAATGCCGCGTTTTAGAATTTTTTTTTCATAATTTTATTAGTCTTGATAACAAAATCAAAATTCAAATAAAATTATATGTACCTGGTATTTATTTGTATTAGCTTTCAGAGGCAAAATACCTATAAAATATAGCATCAGGCGATCAGAATCGGGTCAGCTTGCAAAATAATTTTAAAGTCGAAGCCATTGATCAGGCGCGTAGTTCTTTAACATGACTAGTTTATCCCTTAGAACTGATCTTCGATTACACAAAATACAGCTTTGAATACTGAATCAAAGCATGGATAGTTAACCAAAATAATCTATTGGCATCGAAATTTGAAAATTCTTATAAGATTCTAGTTTATTCGAAGTCCTCACCATCTAGCTAGAAATCCTTGTTTACATTTCAGTAAATTAATATTTCCAGCTCAGTCAACGAAAATCAAACCGCCCTTTGGCGAACTCGTAGATACTTGTTGCACTTTTCGAAGATTGGGCTCCCTGTGTCCTCCTTATGCTTGTTGACATTCAAAGGATTCCAAGTATTTCGCTCTATCTAATAGCGGAGGTCCCGGGCGGGCCGAAGGCCCGCGCGAGCGGAGCACCATACTTAACTTAAGGTGGCTGCGTAATTTTGGACGTTCGATTTGAGTCCACAATGTGCGCGCGCTCAAAAACCGCTGAAACTAAATCTACAAGATTTTATCGAAGAACAATACGCGTTTTGAGCTTCAGCAGGGCAAAACCCTCAAATTTTGTACGGAACTCTCTATTTCTTAATAGCTCATTCGAAAAAACTCCTAAAAATCTAGGTTGTATCAATATTTTAGGAAAAGTTTAAATCAGTAACACTAAAAAAATAGATTGTTGTAGGGATTTTTGTTGGACTTTATGAAATTTTTTAAGAGCACCGAAACTACAAAATTATATGAAAAATCAATGTATCTCTTTGTCTTTTTGTCGAAAATGTCCATGTATTATTGTAGAATGATTGACTAGCCTTCATTCGTGCAATCATATAGTCTGCAAATAACTATTATCTTATGAATCTTAATTTTTTTTCTAATCGCTACCGGTGGCGCAATTTTTACTCGATTATCTCGAAAACGAGCTCAGGACACCCTATTTTTCTTTCCAGATTTGGAATCAGCATTAAATTTCAATTCGGAAAATCGAAGTAAAAAAAAAAGTTTAAAAAAAGTTTAAATCAATTTCCAAAAGTAGGCAGTCACCTTAAGGCAATTCCCTTGAAAGAAATTTTGCCAATAACTTTGTCCTGAAACTTTGCATGGACATTAATTATGTTATGGACAGTTAAAAACTGTAATAAAAAGATGGGGTCACCATTCTCGTTTTTTTTTTTTGCTAGATGGTCTATGGGTTTCATAGTGAAATGCGGTAGCAACCGGAACCTTTATTCGCCGTTAAAAGTACTTTTATATAGCAAAACGTAATTATAACTCGAAGTTTACTAGATAATCTATACTATTAAATCCATCAAAATTTTGGATGACTATGATTCTTGAACTATTAGTGAAAAATGCAGGTATGTGCGCCTCTACGAACGTCCAAAAATTGCACATGCCAACTATTCCCATCAAAATATTTCAAAATCTATACAATAATCTTTGCTTCATATTTTGATATATATTGAGGAGCATTGCATTTATCAAAATTCTGAAATAAAAAATGGGGGTCACCATTCTCGTTTTTGATTTATCTTGAAAAAACATCTCAAAATAGTCGAAAACTATAATCTCTACTCAAAAGAGAGAAAAAGTGAAAATTGGTTTTGAACATTTTTCTTACTTAGTTTCCGAAAGAAAAATGCCTAAACTTTGTTAGTTCCATGCTTTTAGTTGCATGCACAGAAAAATGCGTAGTGCAAAACAAGGGAATTACCTTAAGAAAAAATGGTAAACCATCGAGTTGATTTTTCATGGCTTGACTACACGGAAGCCGTACGTACGTACGTACGGCGTCCGTGTACACAACACAGGAATCCCTGTTGATGTCAAAGCAAAACTACTTTCAAGTGCCGCTCTCAAATGCATAGATCGAAAAAATCGCTTTAGGGCAAGTTCTAGACCAATAACAAATAAGAAAAAAATTCATGTAGTCAAAGATGGATCAAGAAGTTAGTACCGTTTCTAAGTATTTTCTTTTTTTCAGAGTTGTCTTTACGTTCTCTGACTGCACTGCTCCTTTGCTTGAAGTTGATGCTGTAGACAACAATCTTTTCCCCAGAACCAAATGGAACGGAGTCAGAGATTCTCCTCCATCTTCATTTACATAGTTCAAGGGACGAGAATTCAATACTCCTTCTATTTGAATGACCAAAGTTAATAACTCTTCGTAGGTTAGCCTAGCTGTTGCTAAACTCTTCTTCAGACATCTCTTTACGCTCCTGACTAAACGTTCAAAAAATCCGCCCCACCAAGGAGAGCGTGGTACGTTATACTTCCAAATAATGCCCTTCGACGCTACAAAACTCTTCACCTCAGTGTTCTTGAACGCTTTGCTGTTGTCCGACAATACTCGCGATGGAATTCCTCTCCTTCCGTCGAACTGAATGGCTTGAGTAAACTTGTCATATACTGATAATTCGTCATTACAGATACCTAGTGACTCCAGATCCCAGAACCTCTTTAGCTCTTCATGCATGTTAATATGTTCTTCACTCTCTAGCTGTACTGGGTTAGCTTCGACCTTTAGAATATGTGTTGAGTTCAGCTGCACTGAACAGGCTTGATTGGCTTCAAACTCACTCACGACTGGACCTGACAAAACTCATCCCAATTTAGTGTACATTGCAATAGGTCCAGGGATATCAGATCGCTTTGTTTTGCCTGTTACAAAGTTCCAGTAGTAATCGGGTCCGATAAGCACTTCTCTCTTTACATCGTCCGAATTGGATGGTACGTCTGCTAGCTCTAAGTCTTGCAGATGAGGATACTTATTCACCGCTAACTGTACCGTTTGGTTGCTAAGAGGACTGCAAATAGTTGGTACACTATAAGCGTTCACATAGAGTTCCATGCCTTCGATACTTGTTATCGAAGGTTAAACTAGCTCGCAAGATTTCAACCTGGGTGTTTCTTCGCCAAATGTTTTTATAAGCAGATGGTCTTTGCCGATAGTGTTTAGTTGTTTGAGTGACATACGAACGCTGACTTCCAGAGTCTAGAATTATTCTGACGTTTACCTTTTCTTGAGGGTTATCTGGCCTTCCAACAGGCGCGACAGCACTTTGTAACAGTATTGACGTTTTACTGTTAGCGCAGACATTGAGTGAGGATGTTGATTTCTCACGAAACTTAAGGCTTGGGTCAAGCTTTCAAAATGACCCCCAGCGAAGCTTATTGTTCATTTTCGTGAAATCGAGGCTACTAAGCGTTGATATGTGTAACAAAGGGAGCTAGATGACAAAATGGCCGAAGAAGTTTTGCATTTAGTTTTTGTTTTCCTTTTCTTCTGCTCTCGAATAATTTGCATCAACCCATCGCACAGAATTGAGTGACACATCCGGGAAATTAGAGAATAAATTACTAGATTCCAGTTTCCGAATATCAATTTTCCTCTCACGGCCATTTATATTTATAAGGCAAAGTCATAATATTGAAAGTTTAAGCGCTTCGTGAAGAAAATCGAAAGTTAATGTAATTTTGGTGATTCAATTTGCCAACATGCGATTGTTTGTGGGTCAATTTCAGGTTTCGTAGTGTTTTTACGTATTGAAATTTATCGTTCCAGCGCTTCGTTCGGGTCCTGCTGTTCGTCGTGAAGAAAATCATTCAAAGTAACAACTGAAATTGGTTGCCCAACCATTGCTTAATTGCTTCCAAAATTCCGCTCTCTTTGAAGCTGAAAGTAAGTAGCGATTTCTCAGGAGTTTAAACTTTGACCCAACAAAGCAAAACTCATCGCCAACTATTCCGGTCATGCGCCCGCGTACAAATGCAGCGGTGTCGATTGAAAGTGTTAGGCGAGTTAAGTCAGATTTTACAAAGAAATGTATAGAGAGTCAAGATAGTTTTCGATTTATAAATTTCTGTGTAAACAGTTTTCCACTTGCCGGGGTAGAAGAACAATATATAACATTAAAGCATTTGATTTTTACCAAAC